TTGCTGATCTATTTGACATCCTTGTATTTTTGGTGGTGACGGCCGCCCATACATGTTTGTTATAGGCCATGTTGCCCTTAACTGGCTAGATGTATTACGGCCTCAAGCATAATTGATTGAATGAAAATTTGATTGTTGAATGAATAGTTGAATGTTGAATGAATAGTTGAATGCTAAATGAATATTTGAATGTTAAATGAAAAGCTAAATGCCAAATAAAGAGTTGAATCTTAGATACATAGTTGAATATCAAGTATTGAGTTGAATATAAAACAACACGTTGGAAGCTGAATAAAAGTTGAATATCAAACCCATAGTTGAATAGAAAGTACAAAATTGAATATAGAATTGGATGAGTTGAATATTGCTACATTTGGCCTGTCATAGGTTACCGAGTTAAACAACAGAAAAGATCAGAAAAAGACGTCGTCTATTTCCAGCCAGAGGACAATCATGAAACTAGCCGAAAGGGAAAAGGTTTAAAAAAAGACAGGTTCAAACTTGAGTTAAAAATTTCTTTTCTTTTTAATTTTCTACGCTAAACAGAGGCGGCTGAAACGTTAGGGGAAAAACAAGGGGCAAGCAGTCATACCTACAAACTTCAAGAAGATATGAGAAGCCCATACGATTCTGGCCTGTTGTTTTACTGACTGACCGTGCTCACGTGTAAATACTCCAATCGACTAGTGATATCTGAATGCAAAGTTGTTTACCATCATTTCTTTCAATTTTGACCCATTTTCCCAAACCAAAATTACAATTCACGCTTAATAGGATATAATTTAAACTGATGCTGTCAGCATACACTTCACCTGAAGATAACATTCCCAATCCTCGAATATTTGCTCAAAACATCAGGAACAGGTCGAGAGCTGTTTGAAGATACCGCTGACTAGCATGCATGTTTTGAGAATATCTTCCCTAGGTTCCAGGCTGAATCTATGTATTAATATATGCTTATACAAATTACTGTTTATGAATTTTTCATAATAAGCCCAATCAGTATAGGAAAACACTTTGACGACATTTCAATATGTGGTCCCCATACTGTGGTCATCCATGAAATACAAACAATAGTATCCACATAAGACACTGAACAAATCTTGATACTGTGTGCTGTTACACACATAATTGAGATTTAATCGATTGATAACTTCATAAACTCTTTTGGACAATTTAGACCAAAACTGTCGAGGTATTCAATTATCTCTTTTGATGTTTATAACAACCCAATGATTACCACCATCCACACTGTCATCAAGATAATAACATATTATCCTATGTTTATCACTTATTTGATCTCTAAAAAAACACACCCATAAACTGCTTTATCCCCATTCACTTTACTCAGTGGATTATATCATAATTGGACGATATTTTGTTAACGAAATTGCACCCATTAGAGGAACTCGGTTAAATGGTGAGTTTTGCTCAACAGTACTCCTTTTCCTTAGGTTGTCATTTTTTGTATTGCTTTTATTGGAACCAGCAACTATGGTACCTGCGTCATTAGGCCAACTATGGTGGTGGTGCTTGAGGATACAATTCTCCCCCTTTAGATCAACTACCTACAAATGGAGGTGTTCAATATGGCATCAATAACTTATTGTATGTTGTAATGTGCTCGCTACTACCATCCGATATTGGTGGTGGAAGAGGTGATGGCAGATGATATCTCTACCAGCTGTGAAATCCATTCTTTATTCCTCGAGATCAGCGAAACGCTCCTTATTGTCCAGTGGTTTACTATGCAAAAATCATGTTACTGTAATCGTTAATCCGCGAGTGTACACAACGTTAAATCCTTTAGTTTCCCGTAAGTTCCTGACTCTTTAGAAACTGATTCCTTAGCTGTATACAAGCAAATTATGAACGAAGGGGAAAAAAAAGGCTCAGCGCTGAGGTTTGACCTGGACTGGAATAAACCACCTAACCGAATATACTCTGATGGACTGGTCTGAATACAAAGGATAACCAATGTCAGAAACTGGGATTAAAAACATTGGAAAATCCCCTTAAATGTTCATAATTTTGTCCCAAACAGATTTTTCTCTAAATCATTCAGGGTACTTAAATGTGCTAAATGTTCCGTGTATCATGATTATCATTTAGAATACAGTTCCTTTGGCTCGTCGTCAGGAATTTCCGGTTTCTCCCCAGGTGACTCTTGGAGCACTATCAATTCCTTAACTGGTTGATCCAAAATTGACCCAGTTGCGGATTGGACAGTCACGGATCTGACTTGGCCATCGTTATTTCGATCTGCAACAAGGACTCTAGCCATGGTCCACTTGTTTCTGAAACTGTGTCCTTTAACAGAACGATATCACCTTCCGCGAGGTTTCTTTTCTGTCATGCCCGCCTTTGTCTCAGTTATGGGCCTCTGCAAGTACTCTTTACTCCACCTATTTCAAAATTTATTAGTGATATGCTGTACACGCCTCCAGCGTCGCCTGCATTAAACATCTTCTCTTTGGAACTTTCCTGGAGGAGGATGTATCTGCTTGGTTTTGTGAGTAGGAAGTACGTTTGGCGTCAGTGGCAATAGTGACAGGCGATTATTAACAGTTCCTTCAGCTTCACATAACAGAGTTTGCAATGATTCGTCGTCTAAACTGTGACCATGTTGCTTCAAAGACGCTCCCATAATGTTCTGCATAGACCTTACTTGTCGCTTCATTTTGGCTCCAACAAAGTTGGAACCTTGGTCGCTACGAAGGTCTCTTATAGGTCCTTTTCGAGAGAAAAAAGGCCATAAGGCTTGTGGGAATGAATTCTGTCTCCATGGAGTGTGTCTCTTTGATGTGAATTGTACGGCTAGCCAGGTACGAATGAATGAATGAACTCTACTCGCAACTTACACCTGGAACCTTGAAGACTCATTACTGATGAATCCAAGCACGACCTTACTGTCCGTGTAATAGAATTCATGAAGTTCCTCGTAATCTAACTCTTCCTTCAGCATTGTTGCAACTCTTACTGAAACAGTAGCTGTAGTCAGTTCAAGTCTTGGAATAGTCACTATTTTCAGTGGTGCTACAAGAGCTTTATCCATTACAAGGGAACAATGAACTCTAGCATTTTCATCAATCAACTTGAGATAAAGGCATTTTCCGTATCCACTTTGCGATGAATCTGACATTTCATGTGGCTGCACAGTGGTAATTCTTCCAAAATCAGCAGGCTTGAAGTACCTTGGGATGCCCAGCTGCTAAGATAACAGTAACTGATTTCTCCACCTTTCCAATTTAGTAAGAACTTCTCCATCGATTGGCTCAGCCAAGCTTTTCCTGAGACAGATCTCTTGATGTTTCTGCTTCCCAACAAGGACGACGGGTGCAATGAGCCCTAGTGGGTCAAAGATCGAGCTTATGGTTGCCAGTATACCTCTGCAGGTGCTTGGCTTGTCCTTCAAGTTAGCTCTGAGTTTAAATGCATCTGATTCAATACACCATCGTACGTCCAGGGCCCTCTCAATTGCTTACTTCTTGCTGCCTGAGTCTAGACCCCCTGATTTCCTCTGCTCTGTTTCCAGGGGGTACTGTCATCATCACCTTTCGACGTTCCTGATCATTTTTTCAGTTTAAATCCTCCCTGTGCACACATCCCCTCAACAGTATTTACGAACTCTGCATCGCCCTCTTCTGTCGAAACTGATTTCAATGCATTTTCGACATAGAAGTTCTTCCTTATTGTCTCTGCAGCTCTCACACCAAACTCCCCTTCACTGTCTTCCGTCGTGGGTTTCAAAGCAAAGCTGGAACATCCTGGGGATGAACCAGCCCCAAAAGAGGTGTGCCATCATACAGTACTTTTTAGGTTCTAAAGTCAGGTATCGATTCGGCCACCAC